GTACGCCCCGGTCCTCTTCGCGCTCTGGACCCGTACTCTCCAGTGTTGGAACCGGTGTACTCTCCGGTGTACTCTCCGGTGTACTCTCCGGTGTACTCTCCGGTGTAGTAGCCGCGTCGTGTCTGGCGTAGTCTCCATAGTCTCCGGTCTGGTCTCCGTTGTAGTCTCCGGTATGATCTCTCCGGTGTACTCCCTCCTCCATAGTCCTCGGTGTAGTCTCCGGTGTAGTGTCCAGTGTAGTCACCGGTGTACCCTCCGTAGTCTCCGGTGTATTCTCCGGTATGGTCCGAGTGTCTCTCTGGTGTACTCTCCTCCATAGTCCTTGGTGTAGTCTCCAGTGTAAGTGTCCATTGTAGTCATCTGTGTACTCTCCGGTATGGTCAGTGTGTCTCCGGTGTAGTGTCCAGTGTCCATGTACTGTCCTCCATAGTCTCCGGTATATACTCCGTAGTCACCGGTGTAGTGTCCAGTGTAGTCACCGGTGTAGTGTCCAGTGTAGTCACCGGTGTAGTGTCCAGTGTAGTCACCGGTGTAGTGTCCAGTGTAGTCACCGGTGTAGTGTCCAGTGTAGTCTCCGGTGTAGTGTCCAGTGTAGTCACCGGTGTAGTGTCCAGTGTAGTCTCCGGTGTAGTGTCCAGTGTCCGGTGTATGTCCTCCAGTGTCCGTAGTCTCCGGTGTAGTGTCCAGTGTAGTCCGGTGTAGTGTCCAGTGTAGTCACCGGTGTAGTGTCCAGGTGTAGTGTCCAGTGTAGTCACCGGTGTAGTGTCCAGTGTAGTCACCGGTGTAGTGTCCAGTGTAGTCTCCGGTGTAGTGTCCAGTGTAGTCTCTGGTATGGTCCGAGTGTCTCTCTGGTGTATTCTCCTCCATAGTCCTTGGTGTAGTCTCCGGTGTAACTGTCCAGTGTCCAGTCCCTTTATCTTTAGACAATACAATGTGATTTTCAACATTAAATGGTAGAACTTATTTTCTATTCTCATGTGGTTTTATATGTGTGTAGTCCCTCAGTGGTCCAGGGAGGTTCTATAGTGTCTACACTGCCGGACAAAACTTTTAGAACACCCTCATTTTTCCACTTATTTATTGCAATTCAAGTCGTGCAGGTCCAATGAGTCACTTGAAATGATACAAAGGTAAGAACTGAACATCCAGAGGTTAAAAAAAGGATAAAAGATACAAAACACAAGTCCAAGCTCTGCCAAAACTACCTCAGGAAAAAAGAACAAGATGGTAAAACTTGAAAAACTGGAGTGTCCAGAAGCACAGTGTCCAGACTTAAACCTCATGGAGCTGGTTTGGGATGAACTGGACAGAAGACTGAAGCAACCTACAAGTGCCACACATTTATGGAAACTTCTGCAACAGACTTGGGAAGAACTTTCTGAACAATATTTGATTTCTATTGTAAAATGAATGAATGAGCTGTTTTATCTGCCAAATGTGGACACACACATCAATCAAAAGTTTAGAATATGTTTTTTATCAACAATATAGAGTAAAAAAACTGGAAAAAGTGTGGTGTTCTAAATCTTTTGACCGGTAGTCTATGTGCTCTTATACTTGTTCTGATACAGTTCAAGTTCATTCTAAACACATTCAGGAAAGGTTCATTTTTGTTCTGTCAATGAGACTTTCTTAGTATCAATACCTGCAAATGAGTCTCTAGTTTCACGACTAGTTTTAGTTTCGAATAGTAACTGATTTTCGATATTTTCAACGACCCTTCCATTCAATAAATATAACTTTAAAAATGGAATTTGCTCTGATTGATTCTGCAGCTGTAGTCACCGCTGTACTCTCCAGTATGGACCGAGTGTCTCTCTGGTGTACTCTCCTCCGTAGTCCTCGGTGTAGTCTCTCCAGTGTAGTGTCTAGTATAGCCTAGTCACCGTTGTACTCTCCTCTCCCGTGTATTCTCTGGTATGATCTCTCCGGTGTACTCTAGTCTACTCCATAGTCCTCTGTGTAGTCTCCGGTGTAAATGTCAAGTGTACTGTCCATAGTCTCTTGTGTAGTTTCTGGTGTAGTGTCCAGTGTAGTCGACAGTGTACTCTCCGGTATGGTCAGTGTCTCTAGGGTGTAGTGTCCAGTGTAGGGTCCAGTGTAGTCACCGGTGTAAGTGTCCAGTGTAGTCACCTGTGAACTCTCCGTACTCATCGGTGTACTCTCCGGTGTACTGTCCAGTATAGTCACAGTGTATCCTCCATACAGTCTCCAGTGTAGTGTCCAGTGTAGTCACCTGTGTACTCTGCGTAGTCTCCAGTGTAGTCGACGGTGTCATCTCCGGTATGGTCAGTGTCTCTACGGTGTAGTGTCCAGTGCAGTGTCCAGTGTAGTGTCCAGTGTAGTCACCGGTGTACTCTCCGTAGTCTCCGGTATATTCTCCGTACTCATCGGTGTACTGTCCAGTATAGTCACCGGTGTATTTTCCGTACAGTCTCTAGTGTAGTGTCCAGTGTAGTCACCTGTGTACTCTCCATAGTCTCCGGTGTAGTCTCCAATGTAGTGTCCAGTGTAGTGTCCAGTTTAAGTTTAAGTGTCCAGTGTACTGTCCATAGTCTCTGGTGTAGTGTCCAGTGTAGTCTCCGGTGTACTTTCCTCCGTAGTCTCCGGTGTACTCTCAGGTATGGCCCACGGTCACAGAAAAGGCCTGATAATGAGCCTGCTGCTTGTAGACTTATTCTGAGGTGGTGGTCACTGCTCTACTCCACTGACCGTTGCCATAGTGATTAACAAATTTAAACAAACAGCCAATTATAGTCGATGTTTTGAAGGGGAAAAGTCCTCAAAGTGTTGCATCTAACACCTAAAACTTTTGCGTACTCCTGCTTTAGGCTGTTTGTCTCACATTAAACCAGATACTACACCGGCTTCACCATGAGCTGAGTTAACCAGACTATTCTAAGATCACCAAACACTATGAGGAATGTATAATAATAGGCTACAGCTGTAATCTGCAAATAGATTAACATCACTATTAGAATCCTTGCCGTTTTTCTGATCTGTTACAATGTCGTATCCTCATCACAAACAGACGTGGAGTTGTGCTTTGTTTCATTCATACAAACTCTGCAGATTTAGCTCTTCTCTCCAGTGTGTTTTTAAACTCCATACATCTTCACTAGAATCATCCAGATCAGCCCTGGAATTTCCAATCTCTACTGAACTAAAGGTAAAAAAAGCTGTTCAGTTGAAAACTACCGCTTCAAGATGTAGACAAACTAATAATAAAAGGTTTCACAAACATGTATGAATGAACCAAAACACATCTCCAGGTCTGTTTATGATTAGGTAACAACATTATATGCTCATAAGAGTCAGGTTTACGTAATATCTGACCTTTAACGTCACAGTTAGAAGGTCTACAGTTGAACCAGAGCTGGAGTGATAATTCTCAGGTGGAGTTTGCTGTGGAACTGTCAGATGCAGATTTGTTGACCTGGTTTATGGTTCATATCTGTAATTACTGCATCTATCCACATGAAACAAAACGTGGCACAGAGTACAACAACTTCTCTGTCAGAATAAATAAATACAAGTTAAATTTCTATCCAACCATCCATTTTCTTTTACTTATCTGGGGCCGGGTCACGGAGGCAGCAGTCTGAGCAGGGACTTCCAGACTTCCTTTACCCTCCAGAGTGTCCTAGGTCTTTCCTGGGGCCTCCTGCTGGTGGGACATGCCCGGAACACCTCCCAAGACACCCAGGAGGCATTTGGAACAGAGGCCCGAGCCACCTTGACGTGAAGGAGCAGCAGCTCTCCCCCGAGCTCCTCCCGTGTGACTGAGCTCCTCACCCTATCTCTAAGGGAGCAAGTTAGATTTAATTATTAATTTCACAATAGCTTTAGGAAGTGATTAGTTACAGATCAGATCTCTGAAGAGGCGACTCCGCTTCCACTAAAAAAAGTTTGTTCAGGGAATTTTTAAACAATGAAATACCTGGAATTTAATAAGTGCAACATATGTAAGTTTAATGCTTTATTGTGGCAAATGTACAGCCTCCTCCAGAACAGCTTCATAGTGCAGTTTTAAATAAGACAATGTTTTATTTTGAAAGTACAGTAGTGTTGTCACGATACCAAAATTTCAAACCTGATTTCAATACAACAGACTCCACACTGAATACTGTTTCCAATTCCACAATGATAATAAAAAGGCACTCTTTCTTTAGACAAAAGAATGTGTTTTTCGACAATAAATGGTTGAACTTTCTTTTCTATTCCCATGTGTCTTGTATATGTGTAGTCCCTTAGTGGTCCTGGGAGGTTCCATAGTGTCTACACTGCCAGACAAAAGTTTTAGAACACCCTCATTTTTGCAGTTATTTATTGCAGTTCAAGTCGTGCAAGTGCAATGAAGAGCTTGAAATGATACAAAGGTATGAACTGAACAGTCAGAGGTTGAAAAAAAAGATAAAATATACAAAACACAAGTCCCAGCTCTGTCAAAACGACCTCAGGAAAAAAGAAGTAGTCTATGTGCTCTTACACTTGTTCTGATACAGCTCAAAATCATTCTGAATCATTCTAAACATTCAGGATAGGTTCATTTTTGTCCTGCCAATGGGACTTTCTTAGTATCAATACCTGCAAAAAAAGAGTCTCTAGTTTCACGACTAGTTTTAGTTTTCGATTAGTATCTGATTTTTAATACTTTCAACGACCCTTCGATACAGTGAATATAACTTTAAAAATGGAATTTGCTCTTATTGATTCTGCAGCTGATGACATCAACATTCTATCTGAAAGTACTACTCTGTCTCAAGCTGTGTTACTCAGGTTAGAGCTTTAGACGATGTTTACACTGAAATAAATCTGCGCATCACTGTATTGGAAATGATCTGCGTCCACACACGTCGTTTCTGTGTCCACAATCCTTCCCTATCCACACAGCTTTGAGCATATTAGTTTACGTTTTACAGAAACGAAACTTCAAACTGCATGGCTCATTTGCTCATCTTGTTGGAGATGATTCATGTTAAACTTTTCAGAGATTATAC